TGACAATTCGCCACCTCGGGAGGTTGGCTGCGGGGCAGATCCAGATCTGCAGATTTATAAGGAATATCGGTGAATTGGAAGGATTTCTCCGCCTTTGAAGCTTCGGGGGGAAGGAGATAGAGTAATCGTGAGAATAGGGAAGCTCATTTAGATTCCTATGTCCTGGAGAAGAATTAATTGTCTGCTGGAGAAAGGCAGGCCAGCGCCGGGATTTTGGGGGGCGGTGGGGACTTTCCCTGCGGCTTCCATAGGGAAGGCTGATGCTGCTCCCCTTCTGCGTGCAGGGGGTTCTTCTACCCTTTTTTCCCCTCTTTTTTTCCTTTTTTTTTTTTTCCTTTCCCCCCAAAAAACATCCTTAACGCCTTTGTTAATGCCATTTTTCCAGCCAGGAAAAGAGACGGGAATTTCACCCCGCAGAAACTCCGTTACAATTAAGTCCCTGAAAGCGCCGGAGGATTCAGGGGGCTCTGTTTCCCCTTGATTTTGGGAATTACGATTCTTTTGCGCTCCCTCCGTCCCCGGCCGTGCTGCCGGTGTGGAAGGCATTCCCGTGGCGTGGGCTCCGTGCCCGCCGCCTTTCCCACGGCCTGGCGTGGCCGGTCCCCTCCGAGCCGGGGCCGCCGCCGAGCAGCAGCATCTCCGCTTCAGCGCTGGAAAATGCGATTTAAACCCCTCCGAGAGGAGCTCTCGGGGCCGGGGGGGGTGCTGTGGGTTTATTGCGCAGCGATCGTTTTACTCTGCTTTTTTAATTTTTATTTTGCTTTTTTTGTCGCCAAGAAAAGCTGTCCCCTCTAATGTCGCGGCTCTGCTTTCCCCCACCACACTTTAAAACAAAGAGGGTGTTACTTACAGGGGTGCTCCCGAGGTGAAGCTGCTCAGAACAATTATCGGGACATGGGCTGCTCTTCCCTTTCCCTATTCATTCCAAGTGGATCTCATGCTAAGAGATAAAAATCAACCTGTCCCCTAACAAAGGCTTTGTGTGGGCTCCGCTAATCCGGGCCGAGCGGCAAAGTGCAGCCCCGCTCGGTTTGTTTGTTTGTGGGCCGGAGGGAAGGAAAAACAATATCTCGCACCTTTAGGCTCATCAAACAATAAATTGATCCACTTCTCGACTTCTGCCGGAGCTGCGGTGCAGGGTCGGTGCGGGCAGGGAGGGGAGGGAGAGCGGCAGGCTCCCGCCAAACGCCCTTTCCTTCGTTCCTATATAGATTATATATGATTATATTTTACAATGCTACATGTTATGTTGTATTATATATAATATGCGTGTAGGATGTCGCTCGGCAGGGAAGGAAATGGAGTTGAGGCGTCGGTGGCTAAAAGCAGAGGGGGAGCCCCGGCGCCGTGAGAGGAGCGGGACCCTCAGGCCGCGGCCGGGAGGAGAAACGCGACGAAACCGCTTAAAAACACAACCCACGGGCCGCCCGCGGCGTGGCGAGACCCGCTCGCTCGCCCTCTGCCACCCGAGTCTCCTGCGCGCCCTGCGGGTCCCCGGTGGCCGAGCCCACGCGTGTCCGGGGCACGGGGAGCGGCCCGGGAGGCCTCTGTCCCTCTCGCGTCCGCACCGGGGGTCGCTTCCCCTCGTTTAAAAAGTACAAAAACACGCGTTGACGCCGCTGACCCCACGCGCGCCGCCCGCGGGGCAGGGAGACCTCTCCCCACGCGGTTCGTGGGGCGAGCGGCGGGTGCTGGAGCGGCCCGGGAGCGCAGGCAGGGGAACGGCCCCCGTGGGCAGAGCCGCTCGGCCCCCAGAGCCGCTGCTTAGCCCGTGTTCCCGCGCCGCGGCCTCCCGTGGGCTGGTGCCACCGGCCCGGCCGGGGTGATCCCCTCGGGAGGGGGTCGGGAGGGCACCCCCGGACCTCCTCGAGCCAGCCCTGCCCTGCCCCCGCTCTCCCCGGCGCTGGAGGGTCCCCCGCACGCGTGGGAGCGGACGGGCGGGCGCGGGGTGACCGAGGGGGGAGAAGGCACGGAGGGAGGCGGGGGACGCTCCCCCGGCTCTATCGCGACAGCCGCCGGGCCGCCGTCGGGTTTTCCCCCCACGCAGCGCGGCTGTGGGTGCGGGGGTCGCGGGGGCTGCGACCCCCCCTGACGTCAAAGGGCTCTTACGTCAGCCCCCCGCCGGTGACGTCACGGTGCCCCGGGACTCTCCCTCGCTGCGCAGAGATGTCCGCGCGTGGGGACGGGGGGGGCCGTGACCCCCGGGGCTGTGTCCCACCTCTCCTCCCGTGGGCATCTCCCGCTCCCGCCACCCTCGGGCTCTGCGGGACCCTCTGCCAGCGCCTGTCCGGGTTCGGGTGGGGAGTTTTTAATCGCTATTATCGTTATTAATATTATCATCATTATTTAAAGCCTGGCCCGCGCCGCCCCGGGGATGATCCGCCCGTCCCTCCCCGCGCTCGGCTTCTGTCGGGGTTCTCCGTCCCGCCGCTATCGCGATAGTCACTGTTATCCCTTGCTCTTTTTTCCTCTCGGTGGAATTAAAGCCCATCCTATCCCATTCGAGCCGCCCTCCCCGCTCCGGGGGCCCGAATAAATCCGTCGGTAACCCCGAGATTTGCTGGGAGTTCCGCCCGGTGCGAGGGGAAGGGGAAGGGGAAGGAAGCGGGGCGGGGGGGGTGGCTCGCCCGAAGGGGTTCCCTCGATATCGAGGAGGACTCCGCAATGGATGAAGAGATAGCCATTGAGCGCGGTTGAATACCATGACAACTAGGAACAACCTCAGATTTATTCCCAACAGTTAGGGCGCGCTGAAAGAGGGCGTCAATCACGTATTATTTCGCCACTGAAATAAATGCAAAAACTGCGCCGAGACAAAGGGTTCCAACAGGAGCCGGACATTTGTCTACATTGCGGACATTGTCCCCAGCTTAGCCGTCGGGTTGTATTTGTGTTTGCGCGGGGCCGACCACCCAGGATGCGCGCAGGGGCTCGCTTAAAAAAAAAAAAAAAAAAAAAAAGAAGGGGGGGAAAATCCCTGGGCATTGTCAGCCACATCACATACTTTATGGGAGGCAGGCTGGGGGCTGGGGGAGGAAAGATGGGGGGAGCGGCGAGGGAGAGGAGGGGAAGGTGCGAATGCATTGATGGGCGCAGAGGAGGATGACTGGGAGACCGTCTTCCCACCGCGGCCGGCGGCGTTACGGCTCCTTCCCCCTGGAAGAGAGGCTCGGGCAACTTCTCTCTCCCAGAAATGAGGGGAAATTCCCAGATTATAGAAATCCCCCCCCGCGCCCACCCCGCGCATCTCCATCATCCCCGCGCACAGGCCCGTCCCGGGGCGTTTGGGGAAGGGGCAGGGACAGGGACGGGGAAAAGGAAAGGAAAGGAAAAAGGAAAAGGTAAAGGGAAAGAGAAAGGGAAAAGGAAAGGGAAAGGGAAAAGGATGGAAGGGGAAGGAAGGAGACGGGGAAAAGGAAAGCAGCCCGGGCCGTGCCCGGCGAGGGTGAGCATGGCCAAGGTTCCTCGGCGGGTGCAGGAAAGGAGAGAAGGAAGAAAACGAAAATAAAAGTTGGTGGTAGACAGATAGAAGTTGTGGGAGGGGGCAGGGGGGATCCTGCATCCCTCGCCGGGCAGGGGGAGCCCCCACGGCCCCTCCGCCGCGCCCCGCGGCCGAGGATGCTGCGGGGCTCCGCGGGGCCGGAGCCGAGAGCGGAGGGGGGTGGGTGCGTGACACCTGGGGGGCCGGCCTTTCTTTGGGGAAGGAACCCCTTCTTTGCCCCCCCTCCTTCCTTCCCGAGGTCCTGAAAAAGAAAGGAAAAATACAGAAAAGAAAAAAAAAATAATTCAGCCATATATGAGAGTCCATCGGGCTGCAGCCCATCGAATTATCCAAACGGGCTGGATTTATTCCCCTGGAAGAAGGAGGCAAAATCAATGAGACCTCTTCAAATAAACACACACACACACACCCCCCAATAATCACCTCCCGGATCTCGGCGGGTCGCGCCTGACGATCGCGTTTTGCCAGTTCGGTTAATTTCGGAGCAAACTAGAATCAATTACTCGCTGTTTAATTTCCAGCGCTCATCCCTAAGCCCCAACCAAAATATTGACCTAGGCGGGTTAGATAAGTTGGGCTCTTGCCATCTGAGCCGCCTCGGTCCCGCGCGGGGCCGGGAGCGCGTCCCCGCGCCGAAACGCTGCCCGCGGGGGCGCGGGGCGCGCAGGCTGCGCCGGGGGAGGGGGGGTGGGAACAGCCCCCGGCACCCCCCGCGGAATTATTTTTTCTTTTTTTTTTTTTTTTTTAAGGACAGTATTTACATACAAAGAGCTTCGCACCAGCCCGACGCTCCGCGCACTCCAAAGTGTGTTTTCCGCCGATGTTTTCCCCCGAGCGAGGGAAAAAAAAAAAAAAAAAAGAAAAAATAATTCCGCGGGGGGGGCCGGGGGCTGTTCCCCCCCCCCCCCCCCCCCCCC